AGGACTTGCTGCTAAAACGAGTGCTGGTTTTTATTCCAGGCTTGGGATTTTCTTGTTAAAAGATGACCTTAGGCTCACCAGGAACCCCCAAAAATGTGGATGAGTTGCTGCTGCTGCTCTGGATGAAGCCCAGGCAGCAACTCTGGGCTGAACCTGCCTGTTCGTCCCCCTCTCGGTACCCCCGGGGCTGCAGCCGGAGGAATGGCCTCAACCCTGGGGTTCTGTGGGGATGGGGAGAAAGGGGCCACCAGCCCTCTGGAGCGTCATTTATCCCAGCACCCAAGGGTGGGGGTACATTCCAGGGCTCCCCTCGGCTCTGCTGGGCTCTGTACTAGCCCCCAGCCCTTCTCTCCTGGAGCACCGAGCCATCTCGGGGTGAGTGTGTGTGTGCGTGCGTGTGTCCCCTGCAAAGCACTTTAGGGTCCCCCCAGACCAGGCATCCTCGCTGGGCACCGCACCTGGCAACGGTGCCGGACTAAGGCTTCGTTAGCCCTGCTTGCCTCATTAAGATGTCCTGAAAGGAGCCCACAGCTGGCACCAGTGAATGACTCGGATCGCAGTGTGTGTGTGCCCTTGTTTGTGTTAACCTTGTCACTGTGCGGAGCTGAGTGCCACAGGATTTGTCCTACAGGATTTGTCCCGCAGCCTCCCCCAGGAGCACGCTGGGGTGGCAGGTGATACCTGTGCGATTCCTTTTGGTTTTGTTTCCTGTTTTTTGAGAACTACAAGTGCTAGTGGGGCCAAATCCCTGCGCCCTGGGGAAGAGCTTGCTGCTCGCTCCAGGCTCGGAACGGCTTTTAAATGAAAATAAAACCAGGATTTTCTAGCACGTTGCTGTCTGCTGCCAGCATCCTTGCAGAGATGACAAGCTGTGAGCCCCAAAACAGGTTACCCCAGAATCTGCGTGGTCCCGGTGCCCTTTCGCTGGCTGCGTCTTCAGGCTGTGGATAATATGGGGACAGCCCTGTCCTCACCTAGGCTTGGGGATGGGTGGCATCGCCTTGTCCTCCCTTTGGGCCAGCACTGGTGGACCTGGGGCTGTTCGGCCCCCAGTGTCATGCCCTGTAGGGTGGGCTTAAGGATGCTGCAGGGTCCACTGCTGCTGGGATCCTGGTGGGTGCTCAGCATCGTTTCTCCACACCAGGGAACCCTGCGTGTCACCTTGTGTGTCACCCTGGCCATGCCGGAAGGGAAATACCAGGCTGGGGGTGAAGCCCTGGCAGGGGCAGGGGGACCAGGGTGGCTTTTGGGGGACACCCAGGGCCAGGGATGCTCCGGGCGTAGGGGACCGGGAGGTTCTTTCACTAGATGGCAGCAGAGGCTGCGGGCTGTGCGCTGCAGCTGGTGGCAGGGCCACCCTGGGGACACTGGATGCCTAGGGAGGGTGCTGAGCTTCTGGGGTGGGCAGGGTGAGCCTTCCTTTCTCCTCCTCCTCCTCCCTGAGCAGCCACAACCCAAATCTGCTCTCACCCGCCTGGTCCATGCAGCAAAATGCATGAAAATGGGTGAAATGCATGAAAATGGCCCAAGTTGGAAGGCACAGCAGAGGTCGTGTTGGCTAAGCGGGGAATGGGGTGGTGTCACCCCATTTTTTCGGGGGATTTAGCACCGTGAGGTGCTGGGCGGGTGGTCTGTGGTTTGGCTAAGTTTCTGGCCAAACTATTGAAGCTGCTTCTTCAAAGCTCTGGCGTTGCGGGGCCATTGGAGACTTTGATTTTTGTGGGTGACCGGGCAGATGAAAGGTGCTGTCCTGCTGCTGCCCCATCCTCGCCGAGGACTTGCCCAGCTCGTTTTGCCGATGTGGCTGCTGAAATGAGTTTAGAGGGTTTGGGGTGTTTTTTTTTAATAAAAACAAATTGGTGCTCAATGGGTTCACCCTCAAAGTGGGGCTTATGGCCCCAAAAATGAAGTTTAGAGGTTTAGGATTGGGATTTTTTTGGGGCTTATGTTTTTTGAGTGCTCTGCAGCACCTGATACCAAGTGGGTGTGTGGGATCCCTTGTCCCCGTGCCAAGTCTGTGATAGTGGTGATGGCCACCTCATCTCCTCTCGGGGCTCTTTGGTTAAAGCTAGTGGTGGGACAACCCATGGGTGCACTTGGCTGACGTGGAGGAGGTTTGGAGGAGCCTGGGGCTAGCCCCTGGTGTGGTTTTGGGGGTCCCTGCTGCCGGAAGCCAGTTGCAAGGCTCCGGTTTTGTTTTCCAGCTGGTGTTTGCCCGCCTGGTCGGCATGTTTGCTCTCCTGGCGACGCCCTGCTTGAGCTTATTTGCTTTTCTTTGTGTAAAGAAATGCCACGTAAAAGCCTCGGGTGCAGGAAATGTCACCAGGTGCTCACCTTGCTGGCTCTGGCAGCCCTGCCCCATCCCTCAGGGACCGGGACAAGGAGCACAGGGTGCCTGCCGGAGACACAGTCCCTGCCCTCAAGTTCCGCCCCCAATGCTCCCCCAGTTGTACCCACTATCCTGCCTTCCTACCTCCCCTCTGCCTGTGCTCTTCCCCAGCCCAAATCAACCCCTAAAAACAGCATTAGGAGATTAAATCAGCCTGTACGGCTGCCTCGCTATCACACAAGGCATGGTGGAGTTGTCCCCAGGCTCACTGGCTCTCTAAGGCCAATTTTGGCTTGGTTTCACTCGCTGCAGGGCACAGAGCGGCCAAGAAGCTGCTGCGAGACCCAAGGCTCTGCCCGCGAGTCACAGCCATCGCGGCCGTGATGCCATTGCACAAGAAACTGCAGGGCAGCAGGAGCCACCGCTTGTTAGTGGGTACCTACACAAAAGGATGATGCTGACAAGTGCATGGTTTGGTTTGAGTTTTATTCTGGATCCGGGAGTGGCAGTGATGTTGGTCTGGCAAAGCCCCACGGAGTCCAAAGTGAATCCCCTTTGTCGAGCAGCTCAATCTCGTTTCAACCATCTCTTGGGTTTTCAGCTCCATCCGAGCGGTGGAAGGGGTTTTCCGTGGAGGGCTGGTGCTGGAGGGATGCCCTGGCCTGCCAGCTGCTCTGTCTGGGCAGTGTAGGAAGGAGGGGAACGACCCCAACCCTCATTTTGCCCCACCAATGCCTGTATGTGTTTGCTTGGGTGTTTTGGAAGAGCCTGGGCTGTGGCTACTTACCTTTCTTTTAGCAACAAGGGAAGTTTAAGCCCTTCCTACAGTTCATCACCTCGGTGCTATGCCGGTACACACACACTGGTGGGGCTGGGCTGGCAATATGATGGGTGAAGAGCTCTGAGTTAAAAAATAATCCTTCCCCTTTTTCTTTTCCGAGAGTGGTATTTAACCTGGATTTCCCTGATCCAGTTGGTGTGCTGGGGTGTGGTTGCTCTGCTAGACACCACCTGAGCAACCTGCTCTTTGCTTCTTATGCGGTTAAAGATTATTCCTTATCCTGCAACGACATTGCATTTTAATTTTTATTTTCCCCACTGCTAAGCCGGTCTTTTAACAAGAGGATCTGCTCTGAGATCCCAGCCATCATCCAGCATGGGAGGAAAAGTGTTTCAATTAAAGTGTATTAAGGACTTCTTGGGCTTCAAGGAGACCACAGTTATCTTTGGCTTTTATACCTCAAACTCTGTCCTTTTGTTCTCCGTGGTGTGTTTTTTTTATCTTGAGTAACAGAACTGGTTTTCTGCTAGAGGAAGCAGCAACCGCCTCGTACCCTGTGAGTGCAGTGAAAGTTAATAAGGGTTGGGGAGCACTGACAAACCCTCCCCAAATGGAGACAACCTAAAATTGTAATGAAGGAAAAAAAAAAACACCCACTTCAAAGAGTAAGTGTCGCTTTTCATCTCAATTAAGTTTCCTTTCCTAGGATTGGGTTTCTCAGCTTCCTATTAATCTTCCAGCAGTTCAGAGTCAAGTTTTAATTTGTAATAAGAGCAAGCAGGGGTGTGGGACAAAAAAACCCAGCTATTGCCATACAGCCTAGGAACACCCATCTGAAGAAAACTGATTTTTTTTTTTAATCTCCATTCTTTAATTGTAGCATTTCCTTTGGAGTCTCATCTTTTGACATCAACATCTCAGCATCAGGGGTAAAAAAATCATTGCTGCTAAATCCTAGACTGCTCAAATACCACTAGCAGGAGGCACAAATTAGAAATAGCCATGATAAAGCATTTGGGGGCTTGGTTTTAAAGGGCATTTGCTAAACCTGGCTTGGAACAGCAATGCTGTAGCC